ATCAGCATGTATTAAAAATACAGAGATGAAAAGCGATGAAGTGTTCATGTCAGGCTTGAATTTTTCATACTGCTCTTTTTTTCAGTTGATCCATTTTATTGTTACATTGGTGCAGAACAACCGCATCCTGAATTTAAAACGTAAAAGGTGAGTTTACAGTGTTAATTCTTTACAGTAAGTAGCTATACATACTAAATGGACTGGTTGTGATATAATGCATTTCTGCTCTGTTGTAAGTGCTTACTTGGGATTAGTATCTTGCCCATGCAGACTGGCACAGTAAGGAATCAAACCACAAACCTTCTGATTAGTAGATGACCACCCCTATACTAATAGGTAGCCAAAAACCTTGTGTGTTAAAGATAAATAAATAATAACAAAAGTAATGGTCAAAATGTAATTTAGGGACGAAAAAAAACTGTGTGGTAAGCGGTAGTAAGGTTTTATACCCCCCCAATGCTGCTTAAAGCCCTCTTCCAATATGAGCAAGGTGTAAATGAAACCAGACTGGCTTGGACATCACCTGAATTAACAAAGTCTGCATCACGTGTTGAGGGACCAAGACCCCAGGTGCAGGCTGTGCAAAGATGCACCGAGACAATCCAGCACATAACAGCAGGGTGCAAGATGCTAGCAGGCAGGACATACATGAAACGCCATAACCAAATGACTGGCATAGTATACAGAAACATCTGTGCCGACTATAGCGTGGAAGTCCCGAGGTCAAAATGGGAGACATCCCCTAGGGTGGTGGAGAATGACCAAGCTAGGATCCTGTGGTACTTACAGATACAGACAGACTGGTGATGGCTAACCAACTGGAGACACCAGTGGTGGGCAAGAAGATTACTAATCCTGTAGTGATGTTGACTACTGAGGACAGACACCCTCTCTACTTTTAGGATTAGGCTTAAAACTTTCCGTTTTTACAATATAGAATAGTAAGGGCTGGATCAGGTGACCCTGAATCCTTCCTTAGTTAAGCTGTTATAGGTCTAGGCTGCTGGGGGATTCCCATGATGCAGGGTTTCTTTTTGACTAACCTCACTATGTGTTTATACACCTCTACATTTAATTATTAGTTATATTCATCTTTGGTCTTCATATTGTCTTCATCCCCTCATCCCAACCGGTCGCAGCAGATGGCCCCACCTCCCTGAGCCTGGTTTTGCTGGAGTTTTCTGCCTGTTAATAGGGAGTTTTTCTTTCCCACTGTTTCAAAGGGCTTTGCTCAAAGGGGGTTATATGATTGTTGGGGTGTTCTTTGTATTATTGTAGGGCATTTATACTTACTGTATAAGGCGCCTCGAGGCAACTGTTGTTGTGATTTACAGTACAAAGAAAATTGAATTAAATTTTGGAAGTGGGGTTGTCAGTTTTATGTAAGGCATATGTGATAAAAAATAATTCACTAGTATAACACTAATATCATACTAATAAAGTTACTGTTGTAGGTGTTTCAAAGTGTAACTTTTTGTGAGTTTAAATTATACAAATGATAAAGCTGCTTTTTTATTGATTACTAGTGACATAAAATATTAGAGTTTGGTTTTTAACAAAGGGTTGGCCATTAAATGCAATGGTACAACAAATAAGAACTTTTAACAATAAAGCTGTTTTCCAAAGGACTACCATATCATGGTTTTTGTTTTTGTTTTTAAACAGGCCCATTCTTATGAATGGCAATGGGAAGAAGCCCAAATTCATTCACCAGATCTATGATGACAAAGTGTGTGTTGAACAGGTCAGTAAAGAATGGTTACTGTTCACATTATGCTTTTCAAAAGTATTGTTTTTAAGTGCTGCCTTAAATAAATTGGAAGTTTAGTGATACCAGAAATGTTTCCTGTATGATTACCAATACAGTAACTCTGAACTCAATACCCAACTTGGTACCACAGCAGAAAAATGAAAATTTCTATAATGTTAGCCATTGCAAACATTTTAGCTAAATGAACATA